TCCCCCTTCATAACAACTGTACATGGCTTGAGCTGTACATGTTTATACATAGAACATGCTAAACAAATCTGCTAGCATCAGCTGTGAACCTATACTCAACATCTTTTAAAGTTTATGCCAAAGAGCCCATCCTATTATGTTCCTTGTGTAACACATACTTTAAAGAAATGAAAAAAACAATCCCAGAATATCGTCTGAATGAAAAGGCATAAGTACTTGGAAATGTAGGAACAGCACCTTAATTTTTAAATCACAAAATGTTTGTTTTTTTAAAAGGCCAACAAAGCATGGCTTTTTAATTATCCTATTCTTTCTAATTCTCTGTTTAACTGGGATATTCTATCAAGATTAACTAACTAATCCACTTCCACTGAAGTTGCATTTCTAAATTAACCAGCAGGGAAAGTGTTTGTAGAACTGGCACGTCCACTCAGTTTATAGGTTTATAGGAGTAACTGCTTATAGGTACAGGATATGTGTGTATGTTCACATTGGAAAGCAGATTATGGTCTTTACAGCTTCACAAACAACATAAATCACCCCCTCACACTGCTTCATTGGCCTCAATTAGCTGTGTCCCTGATATGAAACATGTGGACTCCTCAAAGCCTCATTTATGAGGTGGTTGTTTGTGTAGCTCATTAAAAAGTGAGTAAACCCACAGCGGAGCAGAGGGGAGCATCTGGATCAGCCTGACAACCGGCAGCAGGGATGTGAAGCTCTGGCCACTGTAGCTGATGAGAAATCATATTTCCTGGTTCTGCTCAGCACGCTAAAGCATCCTGCACAACATACGGCCAGTGCATCTACAATACTGCACTGTACTGTATTTTCTGATAACGGTGCGACTGAAATGCCACAAATTGAATAAATCCTTATTACACAGAAAAGGCATTTTTGAATTCAACCCCTGAGCTCTAAGTCATCACTGATGATGATGCCAACCCTGCACGGTCAGAGTTCACGGACACGTGAAAGAGCCAGGTTTGCCCTTCTTTAAATCCAGGTTGGGTTTAGTCTCCATGATGGCTTATACCTGCGAGATTTCATAATGTCCACAGTTTTATATTTGTAGTTTTAAATGATCACAAACGTGATCAGAACCAAACAACAAAAGTTCTATGTTCGTCTTAACCGTGTAACGGCAAGTGTACGTGGTTTTTGAGACCTCTACATCATCACTGTGGTTTTTTCCCATTGAAAAAGTGAAATGCATTGCAAATACATTTTAAGCAATACATCCAGACCCACTGATGGATCATTCTAACACTGCTGAGGGACAAATCAGAAAGAAAGAACAAAATCAGGGAGTAAGATCTCAGAGTTTGATTTATTCTGACGTTAACCCACATCTTAACACAATTTCTCATTACAGCCTGGATCCTATCACCACTCTGTCTCATCTCTACTGAGTGCTCTGCCACCTCTTATTGTGTCTCTCAGCACCTCCTTTGTTGACACTCTGTGGCCCAGTCTGTCTCGTTTACCCCAACCGGCTCCGCAGGCCTCAGCTGTCGACCGTTAGTATTCCTGCTGCCAAGGCAGGGGACCACAGGGAGCCCAGGCGGCCACACAAAGTCTCTCTCTCTCTCTTCTCTCTACAACCTTATGGTCGTGCACAACACATCACGCAGGTACACACACACACACATCACACACACACACACAGCACACACACACACACACACACACACACACACACTTAGACTTGAACAGCCTTCACCTTCCTCATCTGGCATCCCTCAGGCATCGGCTGATTCTGTGTTTTGTGCATGTTTGTTGATGAGCTCGAGCTGCAGTGACAGACTAATAGGCCAGGGATTTTCATTCTTGCTCATTTGGTATTTTGTCCATTATTTTCCCCTTCTCATTTCCTTCACAGTAATGTTTTAGCTCTAATACATAGGCTGAATTATTGATGAAGCTGCCACCCTCCCCCTCCCCCCATCTGTCTGGGCAGAGGGACAGAGGAAAGGGAGGGAGGAAGGGATGGATGAGTGGAGGAGACAAGGTTAGAAGGAGTTGGAGGATGGGTGGGTGGATGGGGGAAACTGGACCAGAGACTGATGGATGGATGGATGGATGGATGGATGGTGTACAGAAGGACTGGACTGTCAATCTGTCTGCCCCCCAGGATGCCCAGCAGACCATGTAGGCAATGTTTACTGAACATGGATCCAAGCCATATGGTGCCACTTCAATAACACACACAAATTGAGACACACACACACACACACACACACACACACACACACACAGTTTGGCTAACATACATAAGTAACAGCAACAAAAACAGGTTACAGAGATGGACACTGAGCACTGCAAATGCAAAGAATGTTCTTACTTGAAATAAATGAGTGTATTTAACTTGATCTATAGTGGATTTTGAAGCTTCTGTCACAGCACTGTGTCTGTGACCCAGTGTTTCGTGTGTGTTTAGTCATATTGTTTGATTATAGGTTTTGGTTCTGCTTGTGTTATATTTTGAGTCCTAGGATTTTGGTCTCTTTGCCTTTCTCATGTTCCCTCTGTCTTCCCAGTCAGTGGCGTCTCTGTCTCAGGGTCCAGTCTGCGTCTTTGCGATTGTCTCATGTTTCCTGTTTTACTTTGAAAGTCTCGTCCTATGTCAGTGTATCTAGTTTTGCTCTCTCTTGTCTCCGTATGTCTTATTAGTCCCAGCAGTGTTTCCCATTCCCTCATTAGTCCCTTGTATAGTTAAGCCCTGTGTTTTACTTTGCCCTTTGTCGTGTCGTGCCACTCCCATGTGCTGTGTGCTTCCTCCCTGTTCCTCGTCATCCTCGCTTCTAGCTTCCCAGTATAGTTTCCTGCTGTCTTTGTTCCTCGTCCTTAGTTTCTAGTTTTCTGATTTTGGATTTTGTTTTTGCTACAGCTGCCTGTTGAGTTCATCCTTTCATGCCTGTAACCTGACAGCTTGACTGTCTGCACTCTCCTCCTGCACACTGTGTAGTTGTGCACACTTCATTTAATAATTTGTTCCTGATGTTTTTAATCTCTTAACTTCAGGCAGGTCACCAGTGACCTAGGTAAGGTTAGGTTTGGGTCTGTTTTAGCCACATGCTAAATATACAGATTTAAATTACTGGAAGATGATGATGACTTGGAAAGGCTCCTCCAGTTACTGTGTAATTAAATCTGATACACAGTTTAATATGTTATACCATAAAGCACACATTTCATATGCAGGAGCCTGGCTGTTTGCAGTTGATGACGCTCACTCAACAAATCCCAGGGCAACGCCACCCTGCAGCCCTCCACGCACACGTCACACATCCTCCTCTCTGTCGTGCACTCATGCACACAGTTGTCAACAAAGTTGCAGTTGCATGGTAACGATTACACTGTGGACTGTGTGTTTGACTGCTGCAGTGGAGATTGTGGTTTCCATGTTTACTGTTAGGTTAGGCTGAACGTAGCAGTCATCGTTTTGCATTTGAGCTGATGATGCTCTTTAGTCACACTTGCCAAACTCCACCATTACCCAAGGTTTATCCTGGGAACGAGGTGGGAGAGCAGCCAGGACAGCTCATGTGATATCTGCCTATATATTGCACAATGCAGTTGGACAAATCCGCAAAGAGCTGCAAATCTCAGAGCTGATCACAGCTCGGCCACACAGAAAACAAATGCAGAGGAGCACGCAGCACAAATTAATTTGGCAGTTATTTATAACGAGATCATTTTCCCCAGCGGCAGTGCTCCACGAGATCTTAGGGTCCACTCACCTGCCAAATCCCACTTTGACTCCTGGTTGTGATCATGACTTCAGTTGTGACATGTTTAGACTTTTTGAGGATATGTGAGGCTTTCTCCTGTGTTTGTGCGGAGTCGAGTGTCAGCTTTAATAGGCCACAGAGTCCGAGACTTGTTAATAAATCTCAGTGTTTAAATGCTGAGCGGCATCCACAATCACGCCTCGCCAGCTTCAAACAGAGTGAACTGGGTCCTGTTGTTGTTGTTGTTGATGTGTGTAGCCTGTAACCGAAAAGCTGCAGCCGCGTGTTTAAGTCGACAGCTGCAATAAAGAACTCAGGTTGGGTCTCTCATGCCCCAATCCTGGGTTTCGGCACCACTGTAAACGATGCACGACAGACCCGACCACATGTTTGCACTTTCCAGTACACTTCTTTATTGCGGCCGTCGACTTACACACACGGCTGCAGCTTTGCAGCAGATGCAGCAGATGCTCTTATCATTAACGTAACTGCTGTGAATTTTATGTTCTGCTGTAAAAGTGATTCTGATGTTAAACATTAGTTCTGATGACGTTTTGCCAGGTAACTTGAGGCCCACCTGTCAGAACTCGCCACACACTTTGAGAACCGCTGTTCTAATGCACGATACTGGAGTCGTAAACTGCCGGGGAAGCTAAAAATCTAACCATTGTCTCCTCAGGACTTTTAAGGAAAAGGCAGCAGGATGCTGAAATATTGGGAAGCTGCTGGGAGAACAAAATGCACGCTCAGCATCACTGAAGGATGATTATACAGGATGCTAACGTCAAAGAATGCTAAAATGTGGGTGTGACACAGTGGAAGGAGCTCAGCAGAAGCACCTGCCTGTTCATCGTGATCATGTGACACCAAATTCAAATTATAACTACAATTTAACTCATGTAGGAAGAAAAACGCAACATCAGCTCCACTCACAGCAAGTTTCCTTTTGTGCATCAGCTTTGACGAGCAGCCTCTATGTTTAGCTCGGGAGAGCACAGCAGCAGCAGTGAATCTCCAACCTGAATTTATTTATTTTATTCTGGTGTGTTTAACAGTTAATGTTAAGACATTTAAAGACATTTAAAGAGCTCCTTTAAAGCAGACTGAAGATAATGAAGAACAACTCAAACAGGCAGTGTGCATATAACACGAGTAATGACTGCAGATAAATGCTGGACTAACTGTTTCACCACCACACGAGAATCTGCCTCATCTCGAAGTTTCACACGTACTCTTATCTCTGACAAAAAAACTGAATTTGCTCACCAAAGTCGGCGAGTTTCAGCTCTCCAGTGTCGCTAATGAGGAGGTTTTGGGGTTTCAGGTCACGGTGAAGAATGTACCTCTGGTGGATGTAGGACAGACCTCTCAGCAACTGGAACAGGAAGAGCTGGAAAACAACCAACAAACAGGTGAACAGAGGGAAGAGACTCTGACATAACTCTTTACAACCGTTACACTGGACCAAGACGGGCTCTTTTTCTCCATCATGCTTTAACGATTATCCTGATATTTGTCTCTGCCTAAATCTCCATCTTTCTGCTGTAGCAATGACACTGAGCAGGCGTGGAGTGCACAGAGGTGTGGAAAAACCTATTCATCACTGAGGTGCTGGGACTCCCCTCCAGTGCAAGTGAAAACAGGCATGAAGCTTACATGTCATCTAAAAAACAGTAAAGGCACACACAGACACCCCAGAGATCAATGTGGAGCCATCAGTCAAGAACACAGTCGTGCTTCCTTCCACTTGAATTACTGAGGACTGCTGCACTGACTGCTCAGAGCGAGCATATTGAAGTATTTACACCTTTAATACGACCTTTCCAACACATGAATTGTAGCTTGTATGTTTGATCAATCTGGCTTGATTTTGCTGGTAGTCTATTCGCTATTATGGGAGTTCTTCAGAGAAAGGAGAAGAAGCGACAGAAGGAAAGTGTGGAGGAGTGTGAGATGTGCATGAAATCGCAGCAAACATGCAGAACTGGTTGGAGCTGCTGCCTCCTTTTTTATTTCCTGTAAAGGGTGGGCCAGAGGACTGCTGACACCACAGAATAAGAGGGCACTATTACACAAAAATCAGTCTGCATTCACCAACAAGGGACATCATTCAGCATCCTTGCTTTGATTTCTTAGTTTTTTGCATATTTGTCAAACTTCAATGTTCCAGATCATCAACACATTTTAATATTAGACAAAGATAACAGTTTAAGGTGATGTTTCATTTATTAAAGCATAAAAAACCCTATCCAACCCTCCACCCTTTGTTCAATCATGAATTTATTGTGATTAAACCCCATTTATTTGAAAGCTGAGTGTAACTTCACTAGCCACACCCAGGCCTGTTGAATCAATAAATCCCTTAAATATAACCTGTGTGACAAAGTAGGGTAAACTAAAATGTGTCGAAATGCAACATATCATGCCAGATGATGAACAATGTCACTGGTTATGAAGGTTGCAAAAGCATTTCCGAAGCTTTGGGACTCCACTGAACCAAGTGAGAACCATTATCTACAAATCTAGAACCCTGGAACAGCGGTGAACCTTCTCACAGGTGACCGGCCTACCAACATTACACCAAGGAGCATCGACGGCTCATCCAGGAGGTCACAAAAGAACTCAGAACAACATCTTTGACCTTAACTGCAGACGTGACTCACCTCAGTTAAGGTCCAAGTTCATGATTCAGCAGTAAGAGATTGGGCACAAATGACATTTATGGAAGAGTGGGGTGGCTGTAGCTCAGGAGGTAGAGCAGGTCAGCTGCTGATTGGTGGTTCGATCCCTGGTTCCCCAAGTTTGCATACCATATCCTTGGGTAAGATACTAACCCCGACTTGCTCTCCGATGCATCCATCGTAGTATGAATGCACAATGAATGAATAACAGTTCGAAAGCACTGAAAGTATGGATCACAGGTGCTTGTGTGAATGGGTGTGTATGGGTGGATGTATAGAGCACTTTGAGTACTCCAGGAGAGTAGAAAAGAACCAGTCCATTCACCAGAATCAGTTCACAATGCTCATCTCACATTTGACAAAAGCATCTTGATGATCCCAGTGCTTACCAGCTAACATTCACACACATTTATACTCCAATGGATGCACTGAAGAGTAACTTGGGGCTGGAATATTTGGGATCAAACCCCCAGCCTTCCAAACAGTATGACCTGCTCTACCTGCTGAACTACAGCCACCCAAAAGAACATGGCACTAACAGTCAAACATGTTAGTGGTTGTGAGATAGTACAATGGACAACTTGCCATAATTATAAGAACCATGAATCCTGCTCTCTACCACAAAATCCTGAAGGGAATCTCCGGCCATCAGTTTGTTCCCTAAAGTTCAGGGTCATCTTGGTTAGGCAGCAGGACAATGACCAGAAACACACCAGCAAATCCACCTCTGATTTGGGCTCAAGAAAACCTAAATGAATTAAAAGAATTCTGCAAAGAAGAGTGGACTAAAATTCCCCCACGGTGATGCGACAGACTCATTGCCAATTATCACAAATGCTTGACTGCAGTTCTTGCTGCCAAGGCCATCACAAGGAGAAGAAAAGCAACCAATACCATGAGATTTCTGCATAAACTTAGGCTCGTCTGTTTCTCTTTTTTTATACATTTAACAAGGACAATTTTTCTCAAGAAGAAAAAATGATCTGTGCAAATAATGCAGCATGAAGCCAGTTTGTTGAAGCCGTTCTGGGCCCCATGAAACACTGATCAGAAGGAGAAAACCATCCAGCAGAGATCTGAGTCATCGCAGGCGTTAGCACCAACCCTATGCCTGGCTAGTGGCACCTGCAACATTTTGCAGAAAGCCCCAAAAATCGAGAATTTCTTTGGGAAAAATGTGAATAATTTTTCACATGTGTGTCAGTAAGAATGACAATTTTTCATAGACTTGGAAGTCAAATATTCTGATTGTGATGGTGACATGTACCTCAAAGGATTAGCCATGCTCAAGGAATTCATTTATACACACAGTTCACATAACACAATCAAAGTGCAAAGTAGAACCTGATTATAACCGAGGTTCTACAAATTAAAAACAATATTTGCGCTTCTTTGAAACCACTCATGAAAATGCATGAATTGCTGACACATTTAAATGCATGTATTTAGAGACACACAGCACCTCAGACTGACAACAGCCCTCATAAATCCCTGTTGCACACACAAAACTATTTTAGGTTTAAATATATACTTACTGCATAAAGTGTATCTGCTGCTGTCAACTTTAAAAAAAAGCTAATAAGCAAAATCCTAAAAGGACCCAGAATCAAAGCTCTACTGAGCTTGTTTTGTTTTCGCCGCTGAGATGCTCAGATCACCGCCCCCCTCCCCCTCTGCAGACGTGTCAATCAAGACATAATGAGGTGTGCGCGACGCAGCTCTTCATTTTCTTCCAATTTCAGCATTCCTCTGTCATTTCTCCCCTCTCACTGATACCGTAGTTTTGGCCAATTAAGCTGATTGAAGCACCGTGCAGTCCAATCAGGGACGGGGCCCTGTCTGGCATCTGGAGTCACCGGGTCAACAGTTTACTATTCCTGGACTCGGTGGGTGAGAGATGAACCGCAGTGCAGAAAATTAGCATGGGAAATGTGTTTACTCATGTATATCAAACGCACTTGTGAAAAGCCCTCTCCCTGTTAGGAGCACAACTGCACGGTAACAAAAAAGAAAGAGAAATCTCTCTTTTATTCTCACATCAATTCACACATCAAACACTCCTAAAAGGAGATTTTTTTTCTCCTCTCTTTTCTTGCTTGGCTTTGAATGGAAATACCTCGGGTCCATTTGCATTCTAATATCTAAGGGAGAGTGAAGTGCTGAGGGCCGTTATAGGAGGTTGCTCTGACAGTTCTGACAGTAATAATAACAATAATACTCAAGACAGAACAGTTTTCCTGTTAAACTACGTAGATCCTCCTAATAAGTGACCACATGCAGAGAAGGATTTTAGTCACCTTTACGTGTGGTCAGCACGGTGAACGTTTGGCTCGCTGATAGATGGCCCGTCAAGTTTACCCGAGTATAGTGCACACATCCATCTAGGTGAATGATTTGAGAGGAAGCGAGCAGCTGAAGGTGTGAGAGCACGGACACGGCAAAGCGGCAAAGGCAAACAAAACGACACACAATAAGAAATGTAGAACCAAATTAGTAAGAGTGTGCCGATTAACGTCACGCCCATCGCTTAGAGTATTGGTCCTGCTTTCTCTCTAACATTGATCTGCCTCTGAAACCATTCACAGCTCCTGCTTTCTTGACTTTGTGCAGCACTCCATCATGAGTGAGGGTCGCCAGCTTGTACAATATGCATACATCAGAGTTAAGGTCTGATATAGATGATAGATACTCGGTTTTCAGTACTATGAGCACTGTGTTAACTAACTAATACTAATACACCTGCTAATACTACTCTTAGGACTAACCTGTGAGAGTTCTTATAGTTAAGTACTTGGACGATGATGTCATTTCTGTAATTTTGGCTCTGTGCAGCACTGCAGTGAATTTGAAACCAAACAATGACTGAAGACTTTCCATTCTGTTAATATTGCACCAACACCAACAAGCGCCTATTTTAAGGGGCCTGAAGAAAATTGGACAACTTTTCAGAATCATAATAAAATGATTCTGATGCTTTAGTACACGCACACAGAAAACATCGAAAACAATGACGCTGTCTGTAAAATCACTCCCATTACTCTCCAGCTTCACCCTGTCGCAGCAAAGCAACATCATTTTAAACTCAGGGACTGGAAATTTCCCACTGCGGTGCATTCTGGATCTTGGCCTTTCTCCCAAAGCTGGTAAGTGTAGAGCACTGTACTTTTGGCTTTTTATATTTTTTAATTTTTTGGATGCTGTGTCCTATGATCTGTACTCTACCAGGACAACTTAACGGCCACTTTGACATTCAAAAAGTCTGGCTGTGTATCCAAGAAACATTCCCTCGATAAGACGGTGTTACCTGTGTGCTTCTACGGCAGAACGAGCTGACGATACAGATCAGAAAAGAGCATTCTGAACATTTTGTCCATTCACATGTGAAACAAAGACCTCTGAAGTCTGTGTAAGGGCTGGAAGAAGCAGTGACCTAATGGACTCGTCTGATAAAATAGGGCACTTTCAGAGAGTCCAGCTGTTTTCTTGCATGAATAACCAAAATGTAAACGTTGCCTTGGCGATAATGTTTTAGTTCATCAGTGTCATTTTTTTCTCTGAAAAGAAAAAAGCCCTGCAGGTGTATGAGACACTCTGCTTAATCATGATGCATTATTAGTCCCGAACCGCAGGAGAAATATGCCGTGTGATCATAGTTAAATCAGCCATTAACATAATCCATCACCTGAGGAGTGACCCTACTGCCTGAACA